GTCATTAGGCTTTGGACATGGATGCTTTTTTCCCAAACCGGAGTAGACCATGGACGTCATTAGGCTTTGGACACCATGGACGTCATTAGGCTTTGGGCATGGTTTGGGCATGGATGCTCTTGTCCCAAATCGCAGTAGACCATGGACGTCATTAGGCTTTGGGCATGGATGCTCTTTTCCCAAATCGCAGTAGACCATGGACGTCATTAGGCTTGGGCATGGATGCTCTCTTCCCAAATCGCATTAGACCATGGACGTCACTAGGCTTTGGACATGGGAGCTCTTTTCCCTAATCGCGGTAAACCATGGATGTCATTAGGTCTTGGTGAAGGATGCTCTCTGTTCCCAACTCAGTAGGCAGTTGCTGAAGAGCAGTTTCTGAACCGCAGTTTCTAAACCGCAGCATAAGTTTCTGAAGCGCGGCAGTTTCTGAAGCGCAGTTTCTGAAGCGCAGGAGTTTCGGAAGGGCAGCTTTTGAAGCGCGGCAGTTTCTGAAGCGCAATTTCTGAAGCGCGGCAGTTTCTGAAGCGCAGTTTCTGAATCAAAAACCAGTTTATGAATCATTGGGTGACTACATACCTACCTACATACATACAAACATAAGCCAAGATACAACTAAGATTGGTGGTAGAAGATAGAAGGGTTTTGGTAGGAAGATAATAAGGTAAAGATGGAACTAATTTCTAGTTGATAAAAACACCTATTTTTCTATTGTGTTGTCATTAATTAATAAAAAGAAGAAGGTAAGAAGCGAGCGAAAGAAGAGAACGAGTGACGCACGCTTTTCTTTTATTAGTTAAAAACAACACGAACAAATAGAAAAATAACCAAATCTTGAGTAACTAAATATGAACTAGAAGTTACCATCATGAGTGACCTATTTTTCCAAGTCATACATACATACCTACATACATACGTACATACATACATACATACATACATACATACATACATACTCGCATACATACATGCATGCAGGCATGTGGGGAGGCTGTCAAACAAACCTACCGCGATGTGGAAGAAATCTGCGTGCGTGTTTATAAACACTTCCTCCTGTGTAAAAACTTGAAACCCCCGCTTCGGCGTGAATGCAACTTGTCGCTGCTTTGCTTACAGCTCTGCCTGGTTGTCCTGCTTTCTTGAGCAGGTTCACACAGCACACGAAAAGCTTGCTATAAGCCATGTGCTGAAAGACACTACAAAACTCTCTTCCAAAACAAATCATGCAACGTGAGAACTCATGCCGACCATGCTGCTGTACCAAGGTTGCTCCAAAACATGCACTCCCAACTTTAAGAGGCGCATAAGGCCACTTTGGTCCTAAGGTTACTCACTTTCACATCCTGAAATCATATCAACCAGGCCTTGAATGTTCTGGGACCTTGATCTGGACCCTGAACAAATCACCCTGAGTGACTGAGTGACATACATACCTCAAAAACATGTACGCACGCGTCTGCAGTTGGAGATCCAGGTCTTCTTCAGGTGAGGATTTAGTGCTTGATCGCGGGGTATAGAAGAAAGACGGCTCTGAATCACCAACAGGACGCTTCAAGCATGGTATAGGACACCTGGCTTAGCAGACGGACGCGTGACCAGCTCCAACAACCCCGAAGACCCAACCCCTCAGCTGCCCTCACAAGCTGGTCATGACCAAAGAGCTGACACGTATACACACTCTAACTCTAAGTGTGCCCAGCCACGGCTCTTTGCGCCCTTGCGTGGAACGAGCAGAGAAGTCCTTCTCCTGCAGAGGCTGGCGAGATGAAAGTGGCCCCCACCTGCGCACCCTCAACCACACACCAACACATCCACACGCACTCCCCGCAGTCTCACACCATCCTCCAAACCCCCGGCCACCCCCGCACACACACACACAGAACCTACCTACCTACCGACCGACCGACCTACCTACTTACCCACCAACCAACCAACCAACCAACCAACCTACCTACCTAC